CGATGTTTGTATCCACGTTTTCGCCTTGCGTTGTTTTCTCCGCGACGTTTTCGTCCGCGATGTTTTTGCCGCGATGTTTTCGGCTGTAACCCTTTCAAATAGATTAATTTAAATAAAAATGCATTTAAATCATGACGTATTTAATTAGAAATATTAAATATTTTTATGAAATAACACTAGGCAGATTCATTAAAATCATTACATTCTTTTTTTCCTTTTTTATGATAAGGCCTTTAGATGGCTGGCAGCTCGAGCGGCTAGTTTTCAAAGAAATAACAAAGAAAGTTTTCAAAGAAATTTCAAAGAAATAATAGATAATATAAAACAAATTATATAGCAGACCATAACACTCTATCGGGAATTCTAGAAGGGAAGCTACGTTGCTTTTAAATATTTTGCCAATTTGCTCTTGAATTTTATGTGGCATAAGTGCGAAGAAAGCGATGATTAATTATAAAGACAAAAAGACAAAAATCATTATATAAGCAGGAGATTCTCTGGTTGCCAAGAGCAGACTGGTAACATGCGATGCTCAGCGTGAGAATAAGAAACCTTAATAGGATCATTTGGTACGAAGTCAAAATAAGTCTTTCCAGACTTCCTTTTTTTCTTTTATTTTTTAATTTAGTTTTATTTTATTTTGTTTTTGTACTTGATTGCACATTTAAAGCATCAAAATATGTATACATTTTCATAATAATTTAAAATTTTATATGAAAACATTTATATAAATATACATCTTTGAATACAAAAACATTATATTATGTCTAATCCTGAAAACATTTCACTAACTTCATGCAAAACAGAAATGTTTAATATTTTCCCAAATTCTTCATTTTGCATACCCTTCAAATACTTTTGTATCCAAAATATTTCAGACCTCATATGAACTTAATTACCTATAAAATATGGTAATATGATTTCATTAGCTTAAATTCGGAAAAAAAAAATTTGCATAATCAACCGTATTCTGGTTTCGCAATGAATAAGTCAGAAAGGATAAAGAAAAGCAAAATTTCCTACTGTCAGAAACATTATTAACTTTTACAACTACTGCCTTATTAATCTGCTGAAGCAGCTATTTTATACATACACTTTTTAGAATCATTAGGTTTTTTTTAAGCAGGAAACATGAAAATGTGCAGTGCCCTCGCTGTGATTCGAACTCCGGACCTAGGCGGATATGCTTCCTTCCAGTTACGTCAGAAAAGCACAGTAAGCCAAAGGGACCATGAAGGTCAAAAGTGGGAGAAAGTACCTTACAAATTTAATTTTAATATTGAAATGAACAATTTTGAATATTGTTTAAATACAATTACACATTTAAAACCAATAAAAGCCTTTCACTAGAGTACTTAAAAATGACCATCCTTAATTTAGAATATTCTAAAGGAATATCGCGAATGTTTTCTGCAAGACCTCTTTTCTTGCACTTATACCGAGGTGATTTTACACGAATTGCAATGTGGCCTTGCAAAAGAAACATCATGTTTATGGCAAATCAATAAACAAAATAAAGGAGGGTGTTCTTTTATAGTGTCTTGGTATCACACCGATCGAAATATTGGAATTTTTTTCTTCGATGTTTACTTCGTTCAGAGGAAATGGATCAGACGATATGCGCAAAATCTGCAACGTATGTTTAAAACTCCTAGATACCAAATAAAACTGTTTTCTCTTCCGTATTCGAAATAAAATTGCATTCTAGAAAACAAATGCTTTGTTTTTAAGGTATGGAATAGTTTCACATGACATAAGCAATGCCTGAAGTTTTGACTATTAGACATTAAAGTAGTGATTTACAAAGCATGAAGTAATGTATTTATGTCAACAGGCCCTTTTGTAAAACTCTATTGTAATTCAGAAATTTCACGCAATGTCAATGAAAGTCATGCAGAAAGGAATTATCTCAAAAATGCGATTACGAAATTTTTCATGATGTTCTAAAACCTTATAAAATATTAAACCAACAATCCTGAAAAGAACCAAATTTACAAGTTGAAGTTTAATCTGAGTTCTGTTCACCAGTTACAAAACAGCAAGGCTTGTCCAAAACGTTCTAAAATTTTAAAACGAAACTCTAAAGATTTTTTCATAGTTTTTCGTTTGTTCTTCCTCGAGAGACACCTAGGAGCGCTTCACCTGATATCCATTCATCTTGATAAAAGTAGTTGAAAAAGCCACAGCCTATATGTGAAAAACACGTTCGCGTTACTTTCTCTGCCTTGGAGAAATGATGTTGTTGCGAACTTCCCTTACAAAGGTTTTGGATATATATGCTTTCTTATGCTAAAGATTTTTATCTTCAGGAAACTTCCGTTTACCCACTGGTTGCCCGACGAAATTACCCATGTAGAAAAAACTTTATAAGAACAATGTTCGCGATACTACAGTAATTAGTGTGAATCATTAATGTGAATTTAGAAACCATCTTGTGCCCCCTCTTTTTTTTTCTTTTCTTTTCTTTTTCTTTTTTTTTTTTTTTTTTTTTTGTATATAGTTTAGATGAAGCATAAAATGAAATAAAGTAAAAGAAATCAATCACTCTAGAATGTATTTTCCTGTCAGTCTCTACACAGCATATAATTTATGAACCTCATGCTGAAAACAAAACATAGCATTTTTTTCTATCGTGCTAGAACTTTCTCGCGGGGCAGGAAATCAGTCACAAAAAGGAAAATCGTGAAAAAAATTAAACAAGAGATGGTATAAAATTATAATGTAATAAATACAAAAACAGTAATAACAAAATTGTGAAATAATTAGTTATAGTCGCAGTTTTGAGATTTCCCTAACATGTTGAAATCTGTCTTCACAGCTCCGCCAGTTAAAGGTAAAAAAAATATAAAACCAACTCAGAACTTCAGTACTTCGCAAGATATGCGGTCCAGAAGATGCAGTGCTTAGGAAAGCCGACTGCGTATACCAAAGGGCCCGAGTTCGAATCCCGGAGAAGCCATGTTTGTAACTGTCCATCCCTTCATAAGAGGCAAAGGTGGCCCAACTAATAGGTGCCTCCATAATAAGCTGACTACCACTTCTGGCCTCTAGTGGCCGAAGTCGGCTGAGAGCCCGCTATTGGGGGGGAGGAACTTCTCAAGATAACGCTTTGGTTCTTATTTACCTTGACAACAAATTTCAAGGAAGGTTTCAATAATATCGCAACGTTTATTGAAATTTATTGTTCGAGACAGGTTTTTTTCTTGAAATGCGAAATATTTTTAACAGCTTTGTGTCCTTTTTCGTCATCAATAACCTAACCTTATAAGGTATTTCTCCCACCTTCTTAGCATGCCTTCGTGATGTAGTGGTCAGCACACTCGACGCGAATTCGAGAGGTCCATGATTCGATTCCCAGCGAGGGCATTGCTCATTTTTCATCGCTCCTGCTTTCGAAATAACCTAACGTTTCTATAGTGGCGCCCCAACTAAAAGGGTGGTGTATGATGATTCTCTACCACCAGGATTTGGTGATTGGGTCCTCTAAACCCCAGTTGCCTTTTAAAGAGAGAGTATATAAAGTATTTTTCCCGTCTTCTTAGCATGCCTTCGTAGTGTAGTGGTCAGCCCACTCGATGCGTATTCGAGAGATCCATGGTTCGAGTGCCGGCGAGGGCATTGCTCATTTGTCAAATCTTCTGGTTCCAAATAAAGTAATGTCTCTACAGTGGCGCCCAAACTGAAAAAGGTGGTGGGTAATAATTCTCCACCACCCCCAGTCGTGCTTTAAAAAAGAGGAGTATATAAGGCATTTCTCCCGCCTTCTTAGCATGCCTTCGGAATGTAATGGTCAGTACGCTCGACGCAAAGTCGAGAAGTCCGTGGCTCGATTCCCAGCGAGGGCATTGCTTTTTTTTTTTCCATTTCTGCTGCTTTCGGAAAATACCCAATGTTTCTACAACCTAACCATGCATGTATTTACTACTCACCAGTACGGATGAATTCTTCTTTTCAGAGTACTTAATTAAAAACACTAAATGAACACAGTTGTGCTTAAATAGTGACATAATGCCTAACATTTTTGCACTTAATTAGCTCTAACTAAGCATAAATTTTAAATAATTTCAACCTCAGTTTCTGCGAATTTGGTTTATATAGTGGATCCTGGATTATTCACGCTCATATTATTTAATTTTCAAATTATCTGCGCATCATCTGTCGAAAAATTCTCAAGTTGGTGTTCCAAGAAAATGCAAAGTGTATAAGCTTTTGTGGAAGTTTAAAAATTTTCATACAGTGAATGCCGTTGCCATGGATTGGAATGAGGTTTAATGTTTGATTATTGCCTAGGGAGAAACTAATCTCTCTGATATGAATAGGAATTCTCAAACAGGAATGTTTACGTCTGAAATGGTATTAGATATGGTTCTCTTTGAAAATCATTTCCAATGATAAAAAATGCTCGCCTTTCCAAATTATCCTCATATGTTTAAGCATTACATAGCACAAATACTAACGAATTCAGTGTAGTTTTTTATTATTTTCATGAGTAATTTTCTTAACTATCAACAAAAATGCATAAACAGTTATTAAAGTTCTGTGCTTTGAAGGTTAATTTGGTAGCTCAAATCCACAAGACTCTGATCCTCACCAGAGGAAAGTTAAATCTCACACGCCAAAATTGGCTGCAGATCTCTTAAGGAATTTTGCTCGCAACTACGCTTGTCGCTTCATAGTACAGGTTGGAAACGGATTATAAATGCTCAATAACCGAATAAGATGGGTTGGTTATACAAGGAAAATAATTTTAATGCGGCAGAAAATAACAAAATTTGCGAAGCGATTGCCGGAAATTTTTTTTAATTCGCGAAATGTTTGAGGTGTATTGATTTCGCAAACTTTTCATACCCAAGAATTAAAATGACATTAAGAAAATTTTACTATTTACACAAATAATTAGTATTTAAATGTATAAAGATAAAACTGTATAATTCTTATATTGATACGTACATTTGTAAAACAGTGAAATTGTGGCAGCATTGTGAACGCTGTTACAGACTCAAGGTTTTCATCTAAATGGACTACTTTATTAATGCATTTCAATGCGAATACATAAATATTCTTCTTTAACACAGTGTATATGGTACAATTATTGTTTTTAAATTCTGGAAAAGATTTTTTCGACGATGATGTATATTTTGTCATTATTCATTAATGACGGTTGACAACTTTAATGAAAACGAACATTCTACGTATTCTAGAAGTCTAGAAAGCCATAACTGACTCGAAAATTCTTTTACAGTAATTTTGTATGAAAACAACCTCACGTTTTATATTTAAATGAGGGATATATGGTTGAAAACATTTTCCCATCGTCATCTTAGATGTTCAGGAAGTTAAATTCATCAGGTTTATATTGCCTGTAAACCCAGTGAATACATAAAAATTTCTTTACTAGGAGATAACACTTTTCCATTAACAGCGGCCATAATGCACAGCGTGAAATCAGTCGCCAACTTAATAATTATGAACAGCAGGGCTTTAAATCACTAAACAGCAGGGCTTTCAATGCTGGTCATTTCTGAATGTACTTTTTAGTGCCTGTGACCTGAAATATTAGTTCAATTAAATGCCAATACATAAACTTTACAGTATATATACTAATTTTATGAAAGTTAAATTTGTTTTTATCATTCTGAGTTAAATTTTGGTTTAAATAGTTAGTTACTTTAAGTACAGCCGTATCTTAGTGCTCTAATTCATTAACTCCAGCCATCCCTTGCTTAGAAATCTGAAAATACTGTAATTTACTGTAATGTACTGTTCTAGTAATCTGAAAGTACTGTTGATTTTATTACTTCATTTAAATATCCAGCTTGTTATCAGTATGTTGATTTATATAAGTACCAAATATAAAAATATTCATATTATTGTTTAAGTCTCCCTCCCCATAGCAAAGTGGTTCTTTTTCTATTTTTCTATTATACAAACTACAAGATTCTCTAAAATATTATTGAAAGGAAATTGTTCTAGTTCATCCATAAGCCTCAATGGTAAGGTAAGTTAATATGGTAAGTTGAGGAAAATAATTATATTATTTGTTCTTTTGAAAATCTTAATTTTCTTTCCCTTTCGATGATACAACTTATGGATTTCTCTCTTCTTCAGAATTCTTAAAAGCAATAAGTCCGCTTGCTTTGCGTTTTGCTCTGTTTTTCAAGTTTTGCTTTTAGGAATTCTACATATGAGAATATCTAAAGCTATAGGGGGCCAAAATACTCATTCTTTTTTCACCTGACATACTTTCCTTTGTGAATCAATAATGGCACTGACTTGGATTTGACACATTCTGTGAAAATGGTGAGAGTATTCAGAAAGCATTTTAAAGCAGCAGTATATTTCTTTGAGGGCTAGAATTTTAAATTATGTGCAATGTTTTCTTGATCTGGTTGCTCACTTCTTTCGCCTTCTTAATAGCACCTCAGTATGAAGAAATAAAATTTTTTAAATTCCTAAACCCCAGAAAAGTATTTAAGTCTATACCATAAACATTAATAAAATAAGGTATAAGCCGCTGTTCAGTTCATGCAAAGCAAATAAAACAAATCAGCGCAGCTACTATAATGTGTCGTCATTTTCTTAAAGCATGTTTCAATTTCTATACACGTAGTATTGCCATAAGAAAGCAATTTAACAAATAATTACTTGTATATATTGTAGTATCAATAGCATATTATTTTTCTCTTTATGAACTGGAGCATAACGTGTAAACGTGTTATAATATGGTGCATATATTATAGCTCAATGCTTCTTTTCAAAAGTAATTTTTTAAAAAATCTGATGTTTACATTAATTCCTTATAGAGAATATTAAATTATACGCATTTTCCTGCATTTCATTTAATCTTATTTCCTCGAGTTTCATTAGAGATATATTTCTCATTCAATTAATTCAATTCTCACTTCGCAGTAAGAAACGAAATACATAAAAATTTTAAAATATTTTCGTTAAAATTTGAAAGGTACAAAACATCAAATACAGTTAAAACAACTGCTAAAAAATTGTACAATAAAAATTACAGTTTCTATGCAAAAACAAGCAATTCGGCCAAAAGTTCCCTTTTGGTCCCACTCGGCAAAAAGACACTGAAAGTGCAGAAAGACTTAATTAACTATTCTGCTAAGCTTCAGATGTAAATAAATATGGCTGCCATGGATAGGAAAAATTAAGCTTAGCCGCACTTAAACAGCTTTTAAATTGTTGATAATTCTACAACTATTGCATGCAGATTAACTAAAGGCATGAAAACTTTATCCGGAAGATAAGAAAAGCATATTTCAATCGTTTTAAAGCAAAATGCACAGTTTACCAACATATAAGAATAAAAAAAACTGAGCTCCCTGAGCAGAGTAGCAGAGTGGATGTAGTATATATATATATACCCACTCTGGCATACTTTTGATAGCAACCAAAACGGGAGGTGCACATGTACATGTATTATGTGTGTGTATTAGTATATATCCAAAATTTTCCAAAATTTCAACGTTCTGAGGCTACTCGTCGTTATAACTAAATATAATTTTACGAGATACATACATACGCACTACAGGCGGCACGAAAAAATTACTTCTGAATCTGAATCCATTTTAAATCACTAGAAACAGCTTGATATCCAAAAACAACTGGTTACGCAAAACCCTCGTTAAATTGCATTCGATAGCGGTCAAAGTGGATTTATTTTCGTTGAATTATGGTACCGGAAATTTTTGTGACTACAATACTTTCTTTACTTTGTACAAGGAAGTTGAAAGACTTCCCTTTATCGTATATTGGATCGCATTTTTATACAGTTACAATAGTGACATATTGCATAATTTTGTTCCATAATGAAAGAGATTTTTAGGAGTAATTATGTTAAAAGGTAATATCGTAACAATTAAAAATATAATTCGGTAAATTTAATTAAGTTGCGCTATTTCACTTAGATTCGTTTTTATTATTAATTTTTCACAGCTCACAATGATATGTTGTTAATTTAAATAAATTAATTAAATGTAAAGTAATTTGTTCTTATTACACGCAATTTTGAAACGAAGACTGAGAAGATGCGTACAAATAATAAAATAATCCTCATTTTAACATATACTCGTTATTTTACATAAATTTTATATTATCCGAACTCTTAATTTCAATTAGTTGCTCTTTTTTCTAAAAACGTTCATAGTTGCGCAGTAATTCACATTCATTTGAATTAATGAATAATTCGTTGATATATGTATGTTCTCTTTCTTTTCATTCTATCAAATTCCTTCTTATAGACTTTTCTTTTAAAGTGTGGTATGACTTTCTTTGCAGCTGAATTGTGTAGGTGGCTTGTGTCTTAAATTATAAGTACTTACGTTAAGCATTCTTAATGTTCTTTTACCATGTCCATTTTAAATGGATATACTTCAGAAAATTTTCCATGATGGTATCCTTTTCCTTAGCCATGTAACATTCGTAGGTTTTGCCGTTCTGAATTAAACAAAGAAACAGTCATAATAAAGGCATAATCTTTTTATTTGTAACAAATGAGGGAAAATATTTTAAAGAAATGTGTTAATTTCACTTTAGAAATTAATATGTAAACAAAACTTGAAAAGAGACGGAAAAGAAACAATTTTTTAAAAATAACTTTTAAAAAATTCAGAAAAATAATACGTAGAGAAGATCTGGAGAAGTTTAGGCAACTTAAACATCTTCTGATAGTCTGACTGAAATGTTATGAAAACCAAAGCAAATAACAGGGAGAACTTGATTACTTCAAGCTATCAGAATGTATGACTTGGGAAAAAATCTCTTGTGCTCAGTTATTGTTTCAGAACGAATACGAAGTTTGAAACGTTTTTAAGAGAAAGAAAGTGCCAATAAAATCACGTCAAAAGAAAAGCAAGAAAAGGGTAAAGTGCTGGAGGCAGCTTCATGAAGAAGTTGTTCCTTTTTTCTTTCATTAAAACTTTCGAAACCAAATACATTTTTCATTTGTAACAGTTGCGCACAGCCTTTTATGAGCGCAGAAATCAATAGTGCGCAAAGTTCAAACTAATACAAGTGAAGCAAGAAAAATATTCTCCCTCTTAAAAGTAGTATATGTACTTAATAAACGGATACTTTGTAATAAATTCGTAGAGAAGATTAGGTTTTATAGTTGTTTATATTATCAAACAACTTCGGTTAAAAAAAATTGTTATATCATAAACTGTTTTGAAGATATTAAGTAAATGGCAAGAAAAAGCTACACTTTATATCCCAGTTATCGCAAAGCACTATGTAAAACAACTACGTACATTAACAAAATAACAGCTATATCACTTCAACTGTTTACGTGCGAATTACACTGTTGGCAATTAAAGTTCCAACACCACGAAAGAAAGCAAATACAAAAAAAAAAAAAAAAAAAAAAAATATTTATTGCACATAAACAGTATGTCATGAAGACAAAAATGATTAAATTTATAAGCAATTTAGAGGTTTACAATTAGAGGGTGCGAGAGCAATTTAGAGGGTGCGAAATTAGTAGGAACAGCTGCCATTCTTGGCAGCTAAAACGCCCTTACCCCATTAGGTATGGGTTCAAACTAAGCTTGGAAGACTCAACTCATTCCATGCTGCTTCAAGTTTATGCCACACTTCGTCAACCGTATTAGCCGGAGAGAGGGTGGCGGGCCAGTCTCTCAGCAACTCATGACTAGACGTATGCAATGGGTGACAGATCTGGATACCATGCAGGCCAGGGCAGCAATCGAATACCCTGTGTATCGAGGAAGGTCAGAACATGACGTGCAACATGTGGTCTTGCATTATATTGTTTGAACATGGCGTTTGGAGGCCTCGAAAATAGGGCACAGCCACTGGACGTAAGATGTCAGAAATGTACCTATTTGCGTTCCAATTACCGTCGATCCGAACTAGAGATGTGCGTGTCGTGTACCCGATGGCTGTCCAAACCATCACACCAGGAGCAGGGTTCCTGCGCCAATATCGAATGCAAGCAGACGACGCGAGGTCTCTTCAAACACTCCGGACACGTATACTGCCATCAAAATACTGCAACTAGAGCCGGGATTCGTTTGAAGAGGCGACACTGCGCCACTCCTGTACCGAGCTTTCTCGTTGAGCGCACCAGAGTCGCTGTATCTCTCTATACTGCATTGTCAAGAGAAGCCGAAGTAATGATCACTTTGCTGATAGTCCACACTGCTGCAAACATGCGCATTTCCTGACTAATGGTCCGTCATGTGGTTGTACGGTTTTCCAGCGCTGACCTCACAATATGTCGAGTGTTAGTCATGGTAGGGCGTTGAGATCCTGCATGCTGTTCAGTATGACCGTCAGCATACCGTTGATTCCATATTAGCATGACATATCGACCAGTGCGACCGGCAATATCACGAAATGATAATCTACACATTTGACAGGTAACGATCCTGCCTCTATCGAGTTTCGAAACTTGCTGGTAAGCATTCCCTCTTCTTTTTCGAGGCTAACACGATATTTTGAGCAAATTCCAATCTTACAAGGCACTTTCCGAATGAGAAATCCACTATAGAACGTTTCTTTGATACAGTG